TTGCTGCGATTCCTCTCTTCCTGAGTAGTTTCAAGCCCTGGCATTAGAGGAAGTGCGCATGCAGGATTATGGTTTTAGAAAAGAAAGAATCCTGCTATCTTTCTTGCTTGTTGGCAGAGCGGCTTCCAAAGAAAAGAATTGGTTCTCGCTGCTGCTGTAGCTGCCGATGCCGAAGCGCCTTCACTTGAATGGATTTCCGCTTTTCCTACATGACTTGTAACTGTGCGTAAACCGCCCATTCCACTAAGGGCTTAGTTCGTAGAGTCCTATATTGGAGGTGGAGGAATGATCAGTCAGTGAATTGGGTTGACCGATAAACGGGAAGATGTAGCGACAAAATCCCCCAATTGGTCTTTCAGGATGCGTGGTTGAATGGAATCTAAGAAAGACCCACAAGAATGCTCCTTATCGGTGGTATGTTACCAGTATCGGTGCTTGGTGAAGAGTTAGTGACTGCCTTTGGGCTCTTTTTCCTTCAGGAGGTTTTGCCTGGTCTCCTCAATAGGGTTGCTTGCCTTCCTCGAGGGAGGGCTATCGCTTGCAGAGTTGTCGACCCTTTCGGTTTTAGCAGAATTCCTGAGTTTTATTTACTGTCTTCTGCTCATTATTCATATTCCATTTCACTCATTTGAAGTCTTGCTTGGGGCACCCCCGATCTTGTGTCCCTGATCGGTGGTTTGATAGGCTTTTCACTAATTTTTAGTGTTGTTGGGGGGGCACCGAAAGATCCGTTTTTATCGGTTGTCACGGTTATTCTTTTTAGTGCTGTTTGTGGGCCGGCAGTCCTGCTTCACTTTGTTATATTCACAGCATTCTCCCAGGAAGCTTCGGCTCACTCTTTCCTAAGTTGTCTTTTCCGAAGCCATCTCTGCTACGAGACCCAGTTGTTACCTATTTCAACGTCAGAGATTCCCTGCTAAGCGGCCTCGCAAGTATAGCAGGCGCTAACCTCGCCCTGAAGCTTCCGGTCTACCCTTGCCCTAGGTTGATCTGCAGTTGGATACCCGAGGTGAGTCGGGCAAGCCCCTTATTTATATTTAAGTATATTCCTACGTTCTTTCACCGCTCTCCTCAGGTTCTCCTTCCACTTTAAAGCTGCTTGGGTGCTGATTCGCTACACCATACCTAGTTATTCCAGGCCTTCCTCGTTAGACGAACTCACTCAATCAGAGACTTTCCTTTGCTTTGTCTTTAATAGGAAAGAGATTCTGTCGTATTCGTAAAAAGAATAAAAGCCCGTTCCTGTCCTAAAAGCTTTCTCTCTTTCTCCTTGCTAACGAGAAATGATCGTATACGACCCAGCATTGCCGATTTACACATCTCGCACTAGGTGCCTGAGATATTGGCGGTAAATACTAATGGTTACCAAGCCGTCGAACAAGGTCTCGTTAGCAAGGAGAAAGAGAGAAAGCTCCAAAAGGGAATTTGATGATATCGTGGAAGCTTTGGTAGAATAATCTAATATGAAAGAAAGGCCGAACCTTCTAATCATAGTCTTTCATCCACAAATAGACGAAGTTCAGTTGACCGATGGACCACTGACTATAGAAATAAATAAACTGAGCTAATCGACCCGAGTACGATGTAATTAGCAAGCGGTTCTCTTTCATATGTCTCAAACCTCGGAGAGGGGTTAGGAACAAAAGGGACGGGTACTGACTTTACACACACAAACAAGGACGCGATGGAAGAAAGGGTGGTTGATATGATAAACACGTATTATTGGGATGGGGCAACAGGCTCTGGGGAGTCGGGCTTTTGTGCTTGGTTTACGCTTTCTGGTACGCCGAGTGCTATTTTGACTCCCTTATGAGCCGAAGAATCTCCAAAAAATCCTGACTCTCGGCGCCCTCACCCTTAAGAACATTGTTCAAGTTAACCAATTCATCAAAATCAGAAGCTTTTTTTTTATGGCTTTTTTGCACCTAGGATAACTCGGGGGTTTTTCATCAAAAGTGTCCTTATAAATTTGTTGAAAGTTCCTTGTAACTTTTATTACATATTCCCGGTCTCTTCTGAATGAGTAGAATCCTCACTCCTGGGCTCGGGATCCCTTCCGCGATATGGCGGAATCTCTTGAATGAAAAATCGGCGTCTCCAACCCTCGGAATGCTCTTTTTGCCTTTCCGTCGCCAAAGGGGGGTTGTTTCGACCAACTCCCACCTCCTCGATTGGGTGATTTTGGTCTTTCGGAGGTGGAGAGACTGAAGTAGGACTCTCCGGAAGGTCGAGGATTTCGACCGTTCCCCCAGGGCTCGGAGCTCTCAAAATGGGTTCCCCTGCTTCATCGCCCCCCACCCTTGGGATCGAAGAACGAGCCGCCGACGTGCCCTCCATTTCTGTTTCGGAAAAGGGCTCCATTAGGACCCGAACCTCGAACGAATTCTCCGTCCACGAGGGTGAGCGTGATGGGTCCGGATGTTCATTCGGTCCAGGGGACACGTTGAAAACCAAAGCTGCTGTAAGACCACCTAAAAAAACCAAAAATTGATGCTCCACATAGAAGCGAAAAAGAGAGGAGAAAAGGCCAAGAAAAAAGAGGATTAGACAGTAGAGAATCCAACCATTTTTTTTCTTTTTTGAGAGTAACCGTAAAATCACGAAAAAAAAGAATCAAAAAATTAGGAGTGGTCATTATAGCGCTTCTCTCTGATCCTAGAAAACGTCCGAAAAAACCTGAAAAAAAACTACCGATAAGGGGCAAAATTACGATAAGTAGTCGTGCCAACATCATGGCTTTTTTTTTTTTTGTCGATAGACTTGTTTTGGGATAGAGTGTTCTTCTTTCATTTTCTTTCTTAGAAAGCACTCACTGAGTTACTTACGGGTCCGTGAGTCTACTCGTTAAGAATTGGAACTAATTGTGGGGAAGAAGGGGGCCCCCTAGTGAGATACTGAAAAAAGACTTGATAATAATAACTAACCATTTCTCACGTTGCTATTAATTTCTATTCGAACCATTCTCCATTCGCGACAGTTTCTCTCTTAAAAATCTGTTGTTTTGGCTTACTCTATCTATATTGTACTGAAGAAGTGCTCTTTTTTGATTTTTTTCGGCGGGCCGATTCTTCGCTTTTAGCCGCATAGTCTTCTTCCTCCACTTCTACGGCCCAATCCAGCCGTAGCTTTGTTTCGGACAATAATTGCTCAAACTTTTTAATATCACGAAAAATGGAATCGATATCTCCAGCATCTCGTAATGACGGCTCTCTAGCCATGAGTTCATCAAGGTGATGTTCGGCCTTTTTTATGTCAAGGCGAACCTCGTGCATGGCTTGATGAGGATTTGGTTTAACGTTGAGGTTGAGGTTTTGTTCGCCTTTCCCTCCCGAAGATGTGCCTACTGAAGTAGATTCCTTCTCAAGCTCCCTACAGATCTCATCCTGCGGCACGCTCTTTATTGAGCCGCCCGAATGTGAGCCCGAGGAAGCCATCATTCTAATGGATTCTATCTCCTCAGTAATAAAGATTTTAAGAGAAAAAGCTATGGCGAAGATCAGCCCCCCGGAGCAGCCCAACCCTCTTAGAAAAAAGGAAAGAGCCCTCCCCCTTTACTAATAAAGGAGAGAAAGCCAGCCTTTCGAGAAATCCCCAAAAAATCTCCATAGACCCTAGAAAAAGACAACTAAAATAACACAAGATCACCACAAGAGCAAGCAATAAAAAGATCGAAATTTTGACCGGGGAAAAACTTTTCTTTAAAAGATGAAAGTTTTTAAATTAAGGGAAACAACGTTGCAAAGCGATTCATAATCCACTTTTGTATACGCCCTCTTCACACCAGTACCTCTGTCCCGACATTTGGTTAGATAGGGGGAATGCCTACCAAAGGTAAAGGGGAGCCTTCATGCAAATCTATTGAAGGGTCACCCACGTTAGCTGGTGTCCACAGTGCCAAAGTTTCAACCAAGATCCTTTGGCTCCGTGCTGGTAGCCGGCTTTCACTCCAGATTTTAGTGACAAGAACGTCTGTCACGTGCGTCCCTAGGACTGGGCCGGATTCGAACCGACCAAGAAAAGGCAAGTCAAGTGCCATTCTTCTAGGCCAAAGACAGTCCAATCTCAATCTCATCTATGTCGAAGGGGCGGGTACGTAGTCACTCGAGCGAAGCGACAGCTAATATCATATATGCAATTATCCATCTAGATGGGGCTAGGTAGCACTAAGAACTTTAGGAAGTTTCCTGCTGTTACGCCAAATGCACATTTTTACGGGTTCATCTTCAAGCCGTGTTCTCGCGCTCAAACACTGTCTTGAAATCAGACAAATGACCCTCTCTACAGGGAAAGACTTCACAACTACATCGTCAATATACACCACCTCTACGATGTTTACAATAAAGTAATGGAAGATGAGGTTCATTGCTCGCTGGTAGGTAACTCTAGCGTTATTCAGACCGAAGGGCATCACCTGCCAGCAGAATAGTCCGTCTGTCCAACAGCACCAGCACCCGGACAACGGAACGCTGTTTTTGCCTCGTCCTCTTTGGAGATGAAAATATGGTTATACCCTAAGTGACCGTCCATGAATGACAGAATTTTTTGCCCAGCTGCTCTGTCCACTAACAAATCAGCGATTGGCATTGGGTTCTCGTCTTTTGGTGGGGCAACATTTAGATTCCGGAAATGCATTCTTTCCCCCCGCTCTGGGCTTTTTGTTGGGGCAAAAATACGAAAGATAAGGATCTAATGCGAACCTTGACGCCCGACGGGCGATAAAGGTAAGGTAAGGGACGGAACCAATGCTGTGTGGAAAGATGCAACGAGGAAACCTCTTCCCGTCCCGGTCGAAAGCCGTGCAAAGACGTAATAGGATACTGCATCTCGTAACGGTAGAAAGAGGAAAGGCTAAGCGAAAAAGGTTAAGATTGCTTAATGAGTTATGGCCACTAGTCATTCGGATTTCTCCTTACTCATGTAAGTATTCTCACTGGGCATTTAGCTAGCCTATATCTCCGCTTTCGCTTCCGTACTCAACCGTCTCTCTCCTTAGTCCGATC